TGTCTCTATTTAAAGATTATATACCGGTTACCATATAATCGAGAGAAAAAGATAAATGACAAAGCTGTGTGCTTAAGAAATGTACTGCTTAAATTCCACAGAAGGAGTTAGAGTGAGGGCCAGAGGAAACCCAGCTCCCCTTTTCAATCCTTGTAGAGATTCTGGGCAAACCCATCTTGTCTCCTGGCTAGAAAAAGAGACTTTCCCTTCCCCAGGTCCAGGTGGCCTGGCAAAGCCCTACATTCTTCCGGAGCTGTGAATTCCGAATACGCCTCGGTTTCTTCAATTTCCGCAAGCAAAGTCGCAATATCTGGGCCACCCCATTTTCTCTTAAGTTCGATTATGAGGTTAAGATAGATTGGGAAACTACCGCCGGCCCAGGAGCAGGGAGTTAATGATGCCAGGGCATGACTAGGAGCCCCAGGATGGAGGGTTAGATTGCAGGGAGCAGCAGGTCCCCGACACCTCCGTCACCGGGCTGGGGAGAAGGATGGAATCAGAATGCACCTGCTGGTGCACCGTCCGGCCCCTGCGAGAGAGCAGAGGCAGCCAGAGGTTGGATGTGGACAGCACGGTGGCATTTGGGTAGGAAGCATACATCGTATACTCCGCTGTGAGTAGATCTGCCCACCCTAGGGTGCCTCCGGGTGCATAGCAGCTGGGCCTACAGCCAGACACCCTCTATGACTGCTGGGCCGTGGAAATGGCACAGCCCTCCAGGAGGTGTTCCTGTCGGTGCAGGAACGGCCGTGTTGTGTCCCTGGATGCTGGGGCAGTGCTCTGAACCGGGAGCGCCTTATGAATGGAAAAGGAACGGAGTTGGCCACCCTGACTTGGCAGGGGCTGGGGCCATCAGGGAGCTGGTTGGAATGACTGAGCTTGGAAGGCAGACCAGACTCAGAACCCACCTGAAAGGCAACCATCAGGATGACGGGGTAGCCCTCACTCCCTCAGTCGTTGGGTGAGATCGCGGAATCAAAGGGCCCTGCCTCCACCATCCCGTGGAGGAGCGAACAATAACCGAACATGCCGCTTTTCCATCGGCTGCAGAATCCTTTCAAAATGACATCCAGAGATGCGAAGGGAGGCCCTGGGCATGTCTCTCTTCCACCCCAGATCACTTGTCAGCTGCAGATTAGAGAAGCAACATGGGCTTATGCACAGGTCGGCCTTGTCCGGCGGCCCCCCCCCCCCGCCTCCCCAACAAGCCTCCCACTCTCCCACTGTGTCCACAGGTGGGTTTTTTTCCAGTTCCCCACTGGCCATCCCCATGACTCCTCAAATGCATGCTGCAGACACACAGAGAGAAGGAGAGGACTTGGGTAGCTGTCACAGAAGTAGAGGAGGAAAGCACCCAAATCCCAGATTTTAAAATTGTTTGCAGTCCTTGGAAGCACTGGAAACATGTTGTGTGGCCGTCAGTCTCCTCCGCCATCTACTGGCCATGCAGAGGTATTGACCTGTTTTGGGACCAGCTTCCAGAACCCCCTGCCCCTTGAAGTTCCCTTGCCTTTCAGGCCCCCCCCC